CCCATGAGAGTTTAGTTTGCAGTTAAATGGTTTGAAGGTGACTGAACCTTTCTGAAGGGAAGCAAACCAGGATACCAACATTCTTAGTTACTGTACTGTGCAATTTACTGCACAATACACTCAGTGTATGCATTGGTAGTACATTTGTTGCTGTTGGATCAAATTCTGATTTGAGTAAAAATTTTCTTAAACAGAAACAAGAAAGAAAAAAAAAGAGAAAAGGATACAAATAATGAAAGAAGAGAAAGGGAATGCTCCAACTCCAAGAAAAAAAGTAGTAAAGAAAAAGAGGGAAAGGAGAAATCTGACAAAAGCACCACTACTTTGAAGGTAAGCTGTGTGACCAAGTGATAAGCAGAGTGGAGTGTTGCAAGTGGAACGATTATTGCAATTCCTTTCTTTCTTTTTCTTTCCTTTCCTCAGCCTTCTTTTTCCCCTGTTTTCCTTACCAAGTTATTGCCACTTGGGTTTAGGTTTTGCCAGTTGGAGACATGAAAGTCATTCTCCAGTTGATGTTATAGGCTAGTTTGAGAAGTCTGTGCGTTTGAACTTACTGGACCTATAGGAGCTTGTGTGAATAGGTTACGGAAACACTTTGTTTTGGTTTCGCTCTCTTTTCTGTTCTGTGCCATATGTTAGGAGTTGGCTGGCTGCCTATCTGTATGAGCAGGCAGGAAGCAGATTGTGTAACTAAGCAGCAGGGTTCGGGGTTAGTTTGGCTGTGTCGTGGTTTAACCCCAGCTGGCAACTAAGCCCCCCCCAGCCACTCGCTCACTCCCCCCTTGGTGGGATGGGGGAGAGAATCAGAAGAGTAAAAGTGAGAAACCTCGTGGGTTGAGATAAAGACAGCTTAATAGGTAAAGCAAAAGCCGCACACACAAGCAAAGCAAAACAAGGAGTTCATTCACTACTTCCCATGGGCAGGCAGGTGTTCAGCCATCTCCAGGAAAGCAGGGCTCCATCACGCATAACGGTTACTTGGGAAGACAAACGCCATCACTCCAAACATTCCCCCCTTCCTCCTCCTTCTCCCAGCTTTTTATTGCTGAGCATGTCATCATATGGTATGGAATATCCCTTTGGTCAGTTGGGGTCAGCTGTCCCAGCTGTGTCCCCTCCCAACTTCTTGCGTACCCCCAGCATACTCACTGGTGGGGTGGTGTGAGAAGCAGAAAAGGCCTTGACTCTGTGTAAGCGCTGCTCAGCAGTAATGAAAACATCCCTGTACTATCAACAGTTTTCAGCACAAATCCAAAACATAGCCCCATACTAGCTACTATGGAGAAAATGAACTCTATCCCAGCCAAAACCAGCACAGGCTATCATCTCCCCTGTCTCCAGAACCTGTACGACATGTGTCCACTTC